TTTCCCGTGGTGCTGAGCGGCTTTCCACTGTCTAAAACATCCCCATGTCCAACCCTAGTCTCAGATGGTTCCTTCCCGTGGTGCTGAGCGACTTTCCACTGTCTAAAACATCCCGATGTCCAACCCTAGTCTCAGATGGTTCCTTCCCGTGGTGCTGAGCGACTTTCCACTGTCTAAAACATCCCCATGTCCAACCCTAGTCTCAGATGGTTCCTTCCCGTGGTGCTGAGCGGCTTTCCACTGTCTAAAACATCCCCATGTCCAACCCTAATCTCTGATGGTTCCTTCCCGTGGTGCTGACCGGCTTTCCACTGTCTAAAACATCCCCATGCCCCATCCTAGTCTCAGATGGTTACTTCCCGTGGTGCTGAGCGACTTTCCACTGTCTAAAACATCCCCATGTCCAACCCTAGTCTCTGATGGTTCCTTTCCGTGGTGCTGAGCGACTTTCCACTGTCTAAAACATCCCCATGTCCAACCCTAGTCTCTGATGGTTCCTTCCCGTGGTGCTGAGCGACTTTCCACTGTCTAAAACATCCCCATGTCCAACCCTAGTCTCAGATGGTTCCTTCCCGTGATGCTGTGCGGCTTTCAACATTGTTTGACACGTTATTTTTCTCCGACGCCGTAGTACGGACGTTTCTTTACATAGGAAATAGCGTTTTCTCTTTCTATCTCTCTTTATTTTCTCATAAGCTTCACCATTTATCAGCACTTTGAAAGTTTCGTAAAGATTCAAATGAAAAATTGCACGCTGTTCTGGCCGAGCTAGTCTTACTCATAATTGGTACTTTTGCATATCCCACCGCTACACCGTTGTTACTATTATTAGTAAAGCTCTCTCACTGGCCTACAAACCAGCGTGAACAGCACACATCTCTGTACATGAGCTCTATTTTACAAAACGGCGTCCCATAACTCCTAATTAGGCCGCTGGCTGTTATGAGTTAATAATTGATTTGGGGGATTGAGGGTTCAAGCAGCGCACCGCGCTCATTAAATTTGTTGGTGGGATCGAACAGCGCTCAGAGCGTGATTAATGTACGCTGGATCAGGCATTATTAGTTGCAAATCGTGCGAACTAGGGCGCCATTTTTTTTAGATTCCATCATGTAATCACAAGACGTGGTGACGGCACATTCACGTTTTTCAACTTGTATTAATGCCGCCACCAACACAGGGGATAATACAATACTCATTTTGACCTGATCGAAGTGAGGAAAGTCGTGTATACTCCCTTTTTCAAGTGCAGAAGATCGATGGCAGGTCAGGACTCGAACCCGGGACCTCTTGGTTGCGAGTCGAGCCCTCTGCCGCTACGCCACACGACCCCATAGGACGCCATTGGTAAAGAGGGTTAGAAATGCCATTGAGTTACAAGTAGATCATAAAGAACTATACATGTATGTATGTATGTATAACTCTTAGTTATGTAAATAGATAGGAAGGCAACATTCGCAAAGCAAAGGCTTAATGTTTACCTTCGCATATGGTCTGCTCTGTTAATTCTTACTCAAACACATTCATATATATTTTCAGACAGGGGTCTAAATCCCTCCTGTGATAAAATGCTACATTATGTAACTCAACACTAATTACCATGGAAACAGACGTCTGGTTCAGGTCATTGACCTTAATTATCGGTTTGGAGAAGAAGAGGACGAAGACACAGAGCAAAACAATGTTTTCCTTATGGGAAGGTAAACATGATAAATGTTGTCTAGAAAATCAAAATTCAATAGACCAAGCAGATAAACAAACAATTTTTCGCATACATAGAACCCACTCGACGTTGGCAAATAAACAAATGTACACGGCCGAGAGTTAATTTCTGACAGCGCCATCTTGCAATTCTTACCTGAACATCATGTTATGCAAGATGTGATCGTATCGTAAAATCAATATTGTTCAGTTTTGTTCGTTCGTGCATATATGCTTAGTATCTGTATCATTTATTACATAACGTATTTGTTGTATATGGTGACATTCATCCATATTTCAATCCTATGAATATATTTATCAGAAGAATAATTCAAAATCAGACTACACCACATAGAAACTTGCTAAAACTACATGTATGTGGCCAAACAACATTTCCCATACGCGAAACTTCTCAATTCGCACACGACAATTAATTGTGTGATTTCTAAAGGAACCCAAACCATAATGTTTCACACATAGAAAAAAAAAAGCCTGGCTACAAACCAGAATGTTTCACACATAGAAAAAAAGCCTGGCTACAAACCAGAATGTTTCACACATAGAAAAAAAGCCTGGCTACAAACCAAAATGTTTCACACATAGAAAAAAAGCCTGGCTACAAACCAGAATGTTTCACACATAGAAAAAAAAGCCTGGCTACAAACATTAAACAAATATGTTTAACACAGAAAAAAAGCCTGGCTACGAACCAAAATTAATGTTTCACACATAGAAAAAAAGCCTGGCTACAAACCAGAATGTTTCACACATAGAAAAAAAAGCCTGGCTACAAATTAGGACACGTATTCTGATTTACTGGTTTCTATTACAGAGAGACTCCGTCCTGGGACGTTATCATAGGACTCGTGGGGTACTGTAGGCCAGCCTGTGCCGGTGGAGACTGGTGTAATTGGCGCCATCAATTAAACACACGGTGGCGTTGGCACGGTTCGGACTACACCCGCGGGGGTCCCGCCAATTTGTCGAAACGCGATGAGAACACGGGGGAGACCGTGGACACGGGGAAACTGGGTCGGGGAAACTCCGTCTGTTTATTATGGCTTCACTACACCACGTGGTGTGATGAAACATATTGTTTTCCCTCGTGTTTCTCCTTCTCCTCCTTCACAGAGAACACAGGAGAGGCCGTGGACACGGGGAAACTGGGTCGGGGAAACTCCGTCTGTTTATTATAGCCTCCGTAGCAGGCTTATAGAACTTGGGATTTGGTGATCTTCGGCTGTTTTCTGATCAGCCCAGTTTAAAAAAAAACGGGGGTAATTCAATCAGGCCGCCTATGTAGTCTACATGCAATAATAAAATAGGACATAAAATCTCCCAAAGACACTGAAGACCCCCAAAACCCCCAGTTTTTGGCATGCTATGGAGGCTAGTCTGTTTATGGCTTCAACAACCACGACGTGGTGTGGTGAAACATATTCACAAGTTTTCTATTCCCAGAATGCATGGCGAATCCTGGGGTCTAAACCTCATTTGCATAGGACAGGAAGGCATCGGAATGATCCTGTTGACATTAAACAGCTTGCTTTTCACTGTGTTTTGAGGTGTTGGGGCATTTTATGCCTAACATTATTTTAAATTACTATGGGTCGAATAGAGAATGAAGTTTTTGTGTTCTTTTCAACATGGAACATGTGGTTTGTAACGTTACAGCATCAGTATAGCGTTACCACTATAACTTTACAAACCACATATTCCAAAATAGAATAATTCTCTATTTGTTGTCAGATTTCCAAAGACAAACCAAACTCTTTAGCTACTACTGGATGAATTACGGGGAGAACTTCCACCTGCATATAGTCTTTTGTTATGTTATGTTATGTTTATTCTATTACTTGGTAAATAAGCTAAAGCATTATATGCTAAATAAAGAAACGTAACGTAATCGTTTAAGAGGGACGAATGATATTTGTCACTCAAAACATCCGGAAGTTATCTCCATAATCTATCCAGTAGTAGAGTTGTAATTCTGTTGTCATCTTTTCCAAACCCTCTCTCGCCAACACCATCGCCTCCTGAACGCGCTAATTCTGTATAATTGATTGACACCCCTTACAACAAGGCCCCGCAATCTCCAGTCTAATTCAATTTAGATCGATTCGGCAATCCAATATTCCTTCTCTCTGTTCCGCGATGGCCAAGACGCCCCATCAGTATTCATTGGTGTGTGGACTTTGGGGCATAATAGACGGGTTTTACGGCTGAAACAATAGCCACTTTCAATTGAATTTACTGCCATTTTCGGCTTGTTGTGCATTTATGGGCGTCTCTTGTGGGTATAAAACACACTGAGTCGTAACCAAAGTACCGGGTAACTCGGAATTAACTCATTAAGGCGGGACTATATCATCTATCTGGATGTATCCTATATGTACTGGTTTTATGGTAGCTTCATGGTAATACTAATATTGGGATAGCCTCCGTAGCAGGCTTATAGAACTGGGGGTTTGGTGGTCTCCGGCTGTTTTCTGATTAGCCCAGTTCTAAACAGGGGTAATTCAACCAGGCTGGCTATGTTGTCTATATGCAATCAGAAAATAGCACATAAAAGATCCCAAAGACTATGAAGACCCCCAACCCCCAGTTTTTGGCATGCTATGGAGGCTAATATTTGGGTACGGGATGGTTCTAGAAATGTGGGACGTGTAAAAATGAAACGTACTACGTAAACGTAGTCTTCACGGGATTTGTCACCATCCGTATAAGGCCATGTTGATTTGATTATATGGATGGCATCCGCGCGCGCATGAATTTTCCGTTTCCAAACAAAGGTTTTCAACCATACTGTAAATCGTACAAAGCAGTTGCAAAATTAGCATATATATACCGTAAGTTGCACCAAAAAATATTGGAAAATAATATCAATGCACGTATAATGCCAAAATCAAACAAAAAGACGAAAATGTAAAGATACGAATTTGAAGAGTAGATTATTCACCACACCATATCCTGTGTCATTTGTTCAACCTTCATGACCACGTAGACTTCAGAATGAAAGCAACTTTTTTTTTGCCAAACTTTTTTTCATTCGCACGCTCGCATCAGTTTTGGGGTTGCCAGATGATCCCAGATCACGTGACGTCCAGTCACGTGATCTGGGTGACCTTTGACACCTAGGTCACGTGACCCCTCTTTCGAGCTGAAGAAAGATGGCGGATGCCACCTGAAAGCTTCTACTAGAACAATTTATGTCGTGCGTATCAGTTTAATTCCTTCTCTAAATGGATTCTCCACGGCAGTTTAACCTTCACCAACGTCTCTCATTCGAACATGGTCGGATGACACTTAAGAGGGTACGAGAATGGGAGAAACTCGAGCGTCTACACGCCAGGTTTGCGAACCATCTGCATTTTACTATGCACTGCAAACATCACAACGTCACGCCAGTCAGCATTAAGGTGAAGACATCTATCAAAGGTGAGGCAGCTAAGAAAGTCATCCACAGAACACAGCTAGCCCTTTTGAACATCAGAATAAGCGAAATAATGTATAAAATCAAGACTTTCAAGAGCCTCATAGCCGACGTGAACGAAGAACTGTTTACCACACTACCCGCTGACGTATACACAGAAGTACACAACTGGGTCTCACATGCGCACCGGGCTGAGTGGGAGAAATGTCAACAACGACAGAGGAAGAAATTTGATCTCCTTCGCGTTCGTCAACAAACCACGGATAACAACAAGAAAGCCCCCATCACTGCAGTAAGTGACACCATGATTGAGAACACTAAATCCAAATGGGTGATCAACAAATCTGACAAGGGACTCTCCACACATGAGCTTTCTGTCTTAAGAAAAGGTTTGAACTATGCCATCACCCCTCAGAAATTACCAATCATGGAGTTTATCACCGCCCTGGAAAAGGCTTGCAAGTTCATAGGCCCCGACACTGAGGAAGCAGCCCACCTCAGGTCTGACTGTGTACATCTGTTGAAACATCGTAAGATGCCACCGAGCAACATCACCAAAGAGGAACGACTTGCACTGGACGACCTTAGGAAGGACTCCAGCATCATAATACTCCCTGCGGACAAGGGCAGAGCCACGGTCATCATGAACAAAAGTGAGTACCAGGACAAATGTAGTGACCTTCTAAATGACTCCACAACCTACTGTAGACTCAAGAAAGACCCAACCAACAACTATAGTGACAAACTTACCAAGATCCTTAGACCATTAAAAGACCAGGAACTGATAACGTATGAACAATACAGAACCTTGTACCCTACCTCTACAGAACCGCCCAAGTTCTATGGATTACCCAAAGTCCACAAACCGGACTGCCCCCTACGTCCGATTGTGGCAACGCGAGGGTCTATTATGTACCAGACAGCTAGGTTTGTTGCTAACATCCTTGCACCTATGGTTGGAAAAACACAGCACCACCTGAAAAACAGTGGGGAGCTCGTGGAAAGGATGTCCCAGGTCACTCTGGACGACGACGAAAGTTTGGTGTCTTTCGACGTCTCAGCCTTGTTCACCAGTGTTCCTGTGGAAGAGAGTATTGTGATCATCCGGGACAGACTCACCTGTGATTCTTCTCTGAATGAGCGCACAAAACTGTCTCCACTGCAAGTCACTGAACTACTGCGACTATGCCTCACCACCACATACTTCAAATATGAGGGAAAGTTCTATTCCCAGGTTGAGGGTGCTGCCATGGGCTCACCTGTGAGTCCGATCGTGGCCAACCTCTTTATGGAATGGTTTGAGTCACGTGCCCTCACCACCTTCCCTAACCCACCTAAGGTATGGGTTCGGTACGTTGATGACGTAGGTGCCGTTTTGAAGTCCAGTCTCATCGAACCGTTTCACCATCACCTTAACTCGATCCACCCCAACATCAAGTTCACTAAAGAACTTGAAGAGAACAGATCCCTCCCGATGTTGGACGTGCTCATGACCAGAAAGGATGATGGTAGACTGAAGTTCAGTGTGTTCCGTAAACCTACGCATACGGACCAATACTTGCTCTTTGATAGCCACCAACCGATGGAACACAAGATGGGAGTTATCAGAACCCTAAGACATCGAGCAGACCACCTCATCACAGAAGTAGATGATAAGAACACCGAGTACGATCACCTCAAAACAGTCCTTTCCATAGCGGGATACACCAGGTGGGCGTGGCAGTCCCCTGGTAGGACCAAACTCATCCCACATCCTCGCTCTTCCACGGACAGCAGACCCAAAGGTCATGTTACACTACCGTACGTCGCGGGTGTGACCGAAGCCATTACCAGGAAGATCAGGAACACAGGGGTGGCCGTCCACAGTACACCATGCACTACAATCAGAAGACTCTTGGTCGCTCCAAAGGACAAAACTGAACCAGAGGACACATGCGGTGTAGTGTATCATCTCACATGTGAAGACTGCGAAGCCCAGTATGTAGGTGAAACTGAAAGGGCCCTCAGAAAGAGGATATCTGAGCACAAGCGAGAGTCCTCTCCGGTGGCACAACACATGCAGACTTACAAACACCAACCGGGGAAGAAAGTCACCATTCTAGACCGTGAAAGTAGATGGTTCGAACGAGGGGTCAAGGAAGCTGTGCACATCAGGTCCCGCTCCCCGTCCCTCAACCGTGACCAAGGACGCCACAGGCTCCCACCAATCTACAACTCCCTCGTCCAGTCACGTGATCTGGGTGACCTTTGACACCTAGGTCACGTGACCCCTCTTTCGAGCTGAAGAAAGATGGCGGATGCCACCTGAAAGCTTCTACTAGAACAATTTATGTCGTGCGTATCAGTTTAATTCCTTCTCTAAATGCCAGATGATGTCATCCATATAATCAAATCATCATGGCCTAAGGATCATTTTAACATGTGTCCAAATAAGATGGCACAATGATGTAATAACTTGATACGTTTATTGGTGTCAGGGGATAGTACATCTCCCTGTGTAATTGTCTACACTATAAATGGTCTATTCAGTCTAGTCAGTTCGAATTTGACTGAATTTGACATTGCATGACGACACTTATAATACAGTTTTTATACGATTTTTCAAAGTCAATATAATTCTAGTCATTTAATATATCTACATACTGAGTTGAAACCACACTATCCCAATGTATATTGACCCTCTTGGAGCAAAAATACCCAAAATTCTGACGGAAAATGGTTACTGTAAGGGCACTTGACTTATTTTTAGGGTACCACCCAGAAAGTAAAGGACTCATCTTGAGGCTTGTTTCTGTAGTTTTAAATGCCCAAGGTATTAAATAATGATTCAAAGTGCAAATGTATGTGTGCAAATCATACAGATTGCCTTATTCAGAATATTTCCAGTTTTGCTCCTCTGAAATCGCATTGGATGCCATTAACTTCTCTACATACTACAAACCATTGCAAAGATCGAAGGCACGATTATCACATGCAGTCTCTACCAGACTAACTACGCTGGCTATATGTAGGAGAATATTTGCCTGGGGAATTTGGCCGCCTTGTAGGTTTGACTGGTCGCGCAGGGAAAGAAACTATCTCCCCGCGGCCGGACTCCCTTGGCTAATTTTACTCTCTTTTTTGCCGAATTCCCACGATCCGAATTCCCGTAGAAAGGCCTGGTGGAGGCTACATCACATGAACAAGCGCCCCCTCCCCCTTTTCCTCGTCAGTTTTTTGTCGATTGTCCCTCCCTGACAGCCATTCAGGTCTGACTTTAATACGGCGGGCCGTTATCGATCCCAGCCTGGCCTTTGTTGTTTGTCTTGCTCGTTGACGCGGCTCAGATTAGGGGGTCCGGGGTTCGAAACCCACGAGCACCCAAGAGCAGTCCGAGGTCAGAGAATACTAACCGAACTCATTTGTCACTCTCTTCGCCTGTGTTTGGTTTGGTTTGTATTAGAATGAAACTGGGTTTGTTTATCATCGCGGACGGCATAATTCAATACGTTAGAACGACGCTTGTAGCATATACTTTTGCGATGAATAATTCTAATAGTTTGGTTCAAATTTTTAGCGAGGCCGTTATAGAAGATAAATTGTATGTGACAGAATTTGTAAGTATTGTAGTGCAAAAGCTGTGGAAGACAAAATACGTATACATTCTGACTGTTCGCTTCATAATAACGCTCGAAATGAGTTGTCTATTGAAACTTTTACAATTTTCCAATTTCTTTTAACTTACAAAGAAAGGTCTGTTCTTCTTTTAACTACCCCCCCCCCCAAAAAAAATTGGAAAAGGTGGGACATTGCGTCTTCCATTGTTTAAAAAAGAGAAGTCAAACCCTTCAGTCATAGTTTTAGACATAGCTATAGTTTCAGACAATTACCTTTTATTATGTAGATTTTAAAGTTGTTTTGTAATCTGTTTCTATGTTCTATTATATTTGTTATTTCCAATTAGCTTTCCGGTAGGAATTTGTAATAAACTTATCATTATTCGCAAACCGCAAAAACTGTTAAGACAAAACCACTTTAACTTATCCGTCTTGCTTTATTGCTCCTTTTCAGACCGCAAAATAAACAGGATTACCGACATAATAGAGCGAAATGAAGACATTATCTCGTAGGTAGTGATTTTCTCCGGCTAGTGGATATTGACTGCCTGCATGGTCTACTAGACCCGGCAGGGGGCGGCTCCAGAAGTACTGAGCCTGTATTTACCGACACAAAAAGTCTCACACAGGACTAAACAGAACTCTCCAAGCAGAGGTTGTGGGGGAATGATCGTTAGCTTTTTATATATGTGGCCGTTTTTTTTTTGTCGCGACCTTCCCTCGCTAATGGATACTGTCTGGCCAATCTGATACTGCCTTTTTGCGAAAGGGATCTGCTTGGAGATTACTAAACTGGAGCTCACAATTTCACAGTTAAAAAGATTTCCCCCGTGAAAATAATCTTGCAGATGAAACCATGAAACCACTGCTTAGATTGCGTATATTTATTTGTTATTTTATGTCCTAATATGTCCAAATACATCTTTGTTAATCCTTTTGTGTTTGGTGGCGGGGTTTTAATATATAAGTCTCATCAACTTGAGTGCATCGCCATCGCCGTCCCGTATTTTCTCCTTCTTCTTTAATAAAAGAAGAATATGAAATATGTGTATGTCTACCCAGTATGATGTTATAATGATATTGCACAGTCAAGTAATGTGCTTGCTACTGTTTGTTATATATGTCTACTAGTATTTTGAAGTTGTATAATCTTCTCTAGCAATTTTTTAATAACACATATACGTACCCTAAAACAATGGACGAATAGAATCAAAACCAGACCGTCATTTTTCATCAGTATTTGTTGTAGGATGGGTACTAGTACATAATATTATCAGCAGGCACGTGGCAAAAGTGTCACCTAGCGATGCACTGCTGAACTGCAAAACTCTTTGGGCCCGCTATCGGCATCTCCATACATGTATACGAAGTCAGGAAGCTCGTTTCTCTCGCCATATACCTTGAGAATACCTTGGGAATCCCTCAGTGTTAAAATGCTGTCTGCCTGTGGTAAAACCCTCGTCTGTTGAAACCAAACCTCGAATTTTCTCTTGAAATACATGTTCAAATTGAAGTGTAAATTTTGAATTAATACCTTTTTGAGTAAGTAAGTTTATTTGTGTATCACTTCAACTGCTACGCAAGCTTCAGTTACGATATTATGTCGGGTAGGCATTTCATGGAGTAAATGACACGGTACAAAACAACGGAATGTCCACTGCAGGACCCACCGTAGCCACTAGAGGGCTCCTAAATCGAATAATCTTTTTTTCGGTAGGTAAAGACTATCCATGTACCAAATATCATAGCAATCTGCCTTGTACAGTTATGCTGTTCAACCACAAACCCACAATCACAACCGCGCAGCTAAAATATGTTATGAATTTTTTTGGTGATGGTAAAAAAAGTTGAGCTTGCACTGAAGAGAACTTTTCGTTGGTCTCACATTGAGTATGATATGGGGAATACTAATAGACTCTTCATTTTCATTTCTTCACATTTCCTCTTTTCCTGAATTGATTTCGGCATTCTATGACATTAGTACATTTTCCAATACCTTTTTTTGCAACATAGAACATATATTCGCTCATTTTGTACGATTTACAGTATGGTCAAAAACTTTTTTTTTTGGAAACGGACGAAAATTCATGCCCGTGAGGATGTCATCCGTATAATCAAATCAACATGGCCTTACCTGGAATGAAAAAAGGCCGTGTTTATGTTAAGTCACCCAAACCGCGATTCGGGTAACTCACATTCCTCACATCTGGTCCACGTGCCACACATTCCTTTGAAACCGTGTCCGATCACAATTTGCCCGAGCTACATTTATTGTTGTTTGATGAAAACACGCAAGGTGGCGTGTTATTAATCTTAGAGCTCAACGACATGCTTGCTGATGCCCCCCTCCCAGCGTATCACGGCCGAATGCCGACGTGGTCCCGCCAGAGGCGGTGAAGCTCGCCCTAAAACGGATACATTATTTGACCATTACTGCTCTTTAAGTTGCTGCCACGTCAAAGTTGGTATTGCATATAAATAAAGAAATATCACCCCGTAATCCATGACCAGGTGAAGTCACATTGAAATCACATTGCGTTCAGACGCAAATCGCGATGCGGAAAAACCGATTCGAAACAACCTCTAGAAGTGGTTTGGGATCGAGGCGCTTTCAATGTGATTTGGAGCGTTCAGATGGGGCCACTTGAAACCGGCTTCGGTGGGAACCACATGTACATGTAAAGCGCCTTCACCGACTTCATATGAACAGGGCCAAAAACAGAGCAAAGGTACATCAATAACGGCAGTCACAGTTGTGTATTTGCATATCTACCTTGTGAATAAATGTTGTTTGCAGGTAAAAGTGACAAACCAGCAGGATCCCCCATCTCCAGAACTCTGACATGACCAATTCTGTCTCGCCTCCTCCTGTCTTTGATCAGCTAAAGCAGAACTGATAATAGGTAAAGATAATTACCCGGAGATCAAACGGAGGGAAAATCAAGTCTCACCGGAGACTATTATTGACGTGAGCGGAGCAGCTTGGGTCTCCCGGAGGCACTCGGCTCAACTCACATCCTGTGTTTGAAGTCGGGAATAATTCTATACAAAATTCACTTTTAATGAGAAATTCTTACCGCTAATCTTCTGATTACACTGAATTTATCAGCATTAATTGGCGCGCGCGTGACTTATTTATGGTGATGGCAGCTCCGACCGCCTGCGATTTGGCGTCATTAAGTTTTGGGGCTCAGCGGGGCCCTGAGCGATGAAACATAGATCGTACTGCTCATTTCTGACTGATATCATCGGATCTAAATGAGCTTTAAAGTGAGACAATGAGAAATAAGCGACTTCAACTTAAGTACTATTATCCCGTGTGTCAATTACTGCAATTCAAACAAGCCGAAGTGATACGAAGATTAAGGAAATAGATTGCGAGGAAATATATATTTATTGACAATGACTTATTAAAGTTTTTTTAACAACAAATATACGAATATGAAATACACATCCATGGTGTATATGAATAACTTATGCCTGGTGTGAAACTGGGAATTGATTATTTTGCACCTGATGTTATCGATAGAAAGCGTAAATAAAGTTGAGTATTATAATAATTTGCTCATCTTATTTGGCAAAACATTCTGCTTCAAATTCATTCATCCATTCCAAGAAGAGTCAGTCGACCTGTATACCACCTAAACGCAAATGCAGTTATAACTAGATAGTTCGCAACAACTATCTAATTGTCTTCGTCAAAAAGACTATGAAATTGTCTCGCCGCGTTGTGGGTGACTGCGGATTTAGCGGAATAACTCCTGAAGGCATAACTCGACGTCCATGATTTTTAGCAGGCAGATTACCGTTGTTATGGCCAAAGTTAAGTGCAAGTTTGGGCTTCGTGGAGGGTTCGTACGTTATGTTAGTGCACCTTTTGTGTTTGTGCCTTATGAGCAAAATAACTTAAATATGTTTAAATAGATGTTCATGATTTTGGTAGGCAACTACAATGGAAGAGGCCAAGGTCAAGTTCGAAAATGGGCTTCGTGGGGGTCCCTATGTCGCTGCAGTGGACCTTTTGTGTTAGATATATAATGAACTTCCCCCACCAACCTCTGCTGGGGGTCAGTTGTTCTCTCCATCTGGGATCAATTGCTTACAATTGAGGGAATGTCCAATAACTACTGTGGTGGCAGGAAAAGTTGGACATGCGTCAGGGCATTCCCTAATAAATTGTAAGGCCAGACCAAGTAATTTTTATGGATGACGTCCACTAGAGACCTTAAATTTATTGCAAAAGCGCAATAAAATACATGAAGGGCCGAAAAAAACTGGTGCATAGATTAAAAAAAAAAGATGCATAGATTTGGAATATACTAACTGTGGAAATACAGAGGTTAGGACGCAAATTGAATACAAGAACATAGTGTAACAACAAACGAAAACAGCAATAAATCTCGCCCTGTTCCGATTCTTTCCTTTCATCAAATCTCCTCTTATTACATTTTGCGTCACTGTCGTGACACTCTGATCACAATGAAGATTTCCCCATCCAGTATAAGTATTTTTGACGCCCTGAAATTGTACATGTATTGGATGCCTTTAACTTTCTGCACTTGGCTGATGTACACACTGTGATCTTTCTCTCACATGCAGGTCCCTTTCAAAACCGTGTGAGTGTACTCTTTTCAAAGTTGTCTTCTCTTTCTATTACCGATGACGTACATCTACCATTGACAGACAAGTTTCTTTCACAAATTTTTTATTATCTTCTTCTCACAGTTGTCTTTTCGCAGACAACCACCAGAGCAACATTATCAACAGACAACGAACTGTAAGTCACTACCTTTCGCAAATTGAATAAAAGAACATAGTGTAACAACAAACGAAAACAACAATAAATCTCGCCCTGTTCCGATTCTTTCCTTTCATCAAATCTTCTCTTATTACATTTTGCGTCACTGTCGTGACACTCTGATCACAATGCAGATTTCCTCATCCAGAATAAGTATTTTTGACGCCCTGAAATTGTACATGTATTGGATGCCTTTAACTTTCTGCACTTGGCTGATTTACACACTGTGATCTTTCTCTCACGTGCAGGTCCCTTTCAAAACCGTGTGAGTGTACTCTTTCCAAAGTTGTCTTCTCTTTCTATTATCTATGACGTACATCTACCATTGACAGACAAGTTTCTTTCACAAATGTTTGATCATCTTCTTCTCACAGTTGTCTTTTCGCAGACAACCGCCACAGCAACATTATCATCAGACAACAAACTGTAAGTCACTACAAAAAATCTATAATTGCTAATTTGCATAATTGTCTTGTACGGTGGAGTATATATTCCCATCCCAGCGAGTCCTTTTCACTCATTCCTCCAGCCGTGATCTCTGAGTGACCTCGTTCTGTGATCTACCGCCCAGGACTTCTGTAAGTATTAATTTCTCACCAACTAGATTTTGAAAACTATCAGACTTTTCAACTAGAATCCACTACTTTTCGTCAGTGACTAACAAAATCTGTAGCTATGCAGGTAAGGCCACACCAAGTAAATTTTATGGATGACGTCCTTTGGAGACCCTAAATCTAATGCGAGAGGGCGAAAAAAAACAAGAATGGCCCTAAAAAACAAGATACCTAGATTAGAATCCACTACTTTTCGTCAATGACTAACAGAATCTGTAGCTTTGCAGGTAACTAATCTTTTTAAATACCTGTTCAACTGCATATACCAGTAGGTAGTGGTTGCTACTTGAAACGTCTAGCAGTTTCCAAAATCTACTAGTACACAGTTGGTTGAGTAATATTTTCATTGTGTATCTCATTAAGGCCACACCGACTTAATTTTATGGATGACATCCGCGCGCGCATTGATTTTCGCCTGTCGCCCTCAAAAAAAAAGATCACCTCCACCGAGGCTCTGGCCTGGGTCTAGGTCTGGGTAGTCCATGGTAGTCAGCGACAAAATGGAGCCGGGCACCCAGGTTTACCGAGGCTCCACAACTCAAGAACTCAGTACATAAGTACTGTACCGATTCGTAAATGCTGCAAAAAGCCAGCATGTGCTGGGTTGTCATATACGTCGCTAAGTACTGTCGCGAATTCACAATACCAGCGTTGTATTCCTGTGGTTTAGTACCATTTTTATTTTTGGCCGGAATTTTTTTTATTCGCCCGCGCGCACTAGTTTGGGGGTCTTCAGAGGATGTCATCCATAAAATTAAATCGGTGTGGCCTAACTAGTAGTGTTTAACTTACACCGAAACAACTGTGTGATAATGTTTTCTGCAGTGTGTTTGTCTCGATCGCTCTTTTGTTTTCGTGCCATAAACGCCTTATCCATTTTGGGGATTTAGTGGGTTAGTCGCGTGGTTATGTCGCCAGTTTGTGTGTGTGTGTGACAGCCACGAGTAAATATGTAAAAGTTATGCTCTTTCTGTTACCTTTTTGGACATTTTTTTGCCTTTTAATTTCTTCATCGATCTGCCAGCTTCGTGTAGTCATTGCGACTTTTTACCTGTCTAAAAAAAGTAAGTAAGATTGTTGTAAGTTACATGGTTGTACAGTATAGTGTATCCCTTATCAATACGTGTCCCAAACAGTTCTATACTAACTATAACCATATCTAGTATATGAAATCTTCCAAATTGACACATATCCAGAAAAAAGCGAGTAAGTAAGTAAAACTAAGTCATCATCATCATCGGTCGGCTGCTGCGCAGGCGACCGTCAGTGCAAGATCCTTCACTGCCCCTTGTCGCAAGCAAGGCTGGCGATCTGCTTCTCAGTTAGCTGGTAAGGCAACTAAGTAAGGCAAGAATAATAATTTTCTTCCCCTCCCCACACCAGCCGAAGCTCCGCCATGAAGCTGTTTGTCTGCCTGCTGCTGGTGACGATCGTTGTCATGGCAACCCTGATTGACGACTCCGAGGGATGGAGGCGCCGGCGCAGGCGCAGAAGATCCGGACTCCAGGCCGATACAGATGGTACGTTCGGCCAATTTCAACTGAGATACAATTCTACTATTTGAATACAAATTATAAAAGAATAAAGAGAATGGTACAGGGCATTTTGTGCACAATTAACAGTCTACATTAGTCGCGATCTATATCATAGGATCTATGTTCTGCAACGTGTTCATTTTGCTTGTTCAGTATATCTAAATGTTACTGGAGGATGGATTTCTGCATCATATACAAAAACCTGCGCCGCGCTAAGTTGAAGTACCACCAGAGTATCTAAAATATTACTGAATGAATCTGTGCATTACATACAAAGCCAACACCACCCTAAGTTGATGTATTGTATCTGTAACATGTGTCTCATACCTGTCTTGTCCGTCCAGCTGAGTTGAGGGAGGTTATGGAAGAGGCGAGGGCGCTCCTGGAGGAACTGAATGAACAGCCCGAACAGCGGGATACACGGGAAATGAAGGACATGGACATGGATGAAATTCTTGCAGATCAAGAAGGTAAGAAGTCTGGTTAGTTTTAATCGTTTTCCCTTTGAGCCTCCGTCACTACAAGAACTCCGACTTTAAAGCACATATCTTGTCTTGTACTGCACAACATCCCTAAATTGGGGTAAAGCGTGCAGGGGAGCTGTGCGATGCGCTATTGCTGCGTCCTCAGGCGCTGTAGTACTGCAGCGTTGAACTGTGGGTTCCGCAGTATCAGTTATCTCTTGGGGCAAAATGTTCCAATCTCTGACAGTTTGTGGAAAGTATGAATATTTGTAACAGTCTTTGTGAAACATGCGTGAAGGTTTGAACTAATAAATATGAAATTCGCAGAAAGATCATAGCTGTAACTGCAGATGATATACTAGCCCACGTAATGAAGCAATACCTTTTGAATCTTTTTTCCTGTTACTAATAGTGCTTTTCTTTTTCACAGATAACAGAAGAAGACGGTAGCGCTCAGTGACCTAACGGACGACCCGGACAGCATAACTTGTTAATGGCGTCATTGGACGATTAGTCGTCTCTTTTTAAATTCATTGAATTGATTCCTTTTGTATAACATGTAATGTTATTGATAGGATCGAAAACCCAAAGTGACTACCTAGCATCCAATATATATAGGACATGCTAGAAGACGCTCAAAAACATGGTCCAGTGCCAAACAATGGAATCAGTCCGTAGACGCATAGAATGGTAGTAATCCTGGTGTAAAATAAAAATGATACTGTGTATATATACTGAGAACATTCTGTGTACTTAACGATTGTTGGTCCTTGGTCCAATAAAACTTATTGAAAGAACATGCCAATCGATTTTTCTCTTAATTCCATGTCTGGAATGTTGTGAACACTTCCAGGAGGTTTGGAATCTCAGACTTCTTGCTGTATAATTGTAATTAACTCCTGAAGGCATAACTCGACGTCCATGATTTTTGACAGGTAGATTACAGTTGTTGAGGCCAATGGCAAGTGCAAGTTTGGGCTTCGTGGGGGGTCCGTACGTTACGTTAGTGCACCCTTTGTGTTTGTGGCTTGTGAGGTCAAGTTCGAAAATGGGCCTCGTGGGGGGTCCCTATGTCGCTGCAGTGGACCTTTTGTGTTAGATATATAATGAACTTCCCCCACCAACCTCTGCTGGGGGGCAGTTGTTCTCGTAGAAAGGTCTGGTGGAGTCTAAATTTTACTCTCCTTTTTGCTGAATTCTACGATCCGTCTTCCCGTACGTAGAAAGGCCTGGTGGAGGCTATGTTTCTTGTGCGACGTCCAAGCATCTGTCGACTTTCTCATATCAAGTATGAAGAATTACAATCCTATATTGTACTACACTGATCGATTTTGCGGCATCGCTGTGAATTGGAAAGGACGTCCTTAACGATGTCGTAAATAAGTGATGATAAAATATGCCGAGGAAAATTAAGGCTGGTGTACTTTATTGGATTAGATTAGGCCACAGCAAGTAATTTTTATGGATGACATCAGCGCGCGCATTGATTTTCGCCTGATTTTGAAAAAAAAACAGGAAATTTTGTCGCCTTCTGACAGTGGTCACCACACCGAAAATGGGCAAAGATGTCTGTTGCCATGCTGGAAAGTGGATGGCAGATAACTATGAAGACAGGAGACAAGAAAAGGCTCTGATTTAATGTTTTGTTTCTTACTTTCAAATTGATGCAGTGGTATGTTATGCTGGCTGTGTATATGTGATGTTCTCACTGAATCAAAACCATTTGTACAATAATTGGGTCAAAATTTTTAATTGTAGGAACCTTAAATTGTTTTTTTTTTGGCCCGCCTTGTTTTTTTTTCGCCCGCTCGCATTGGATTTGGAGTCTGCGGAGTATGTCATCCATAAAATTTACTTGCTGTGGCCTTAGCTTGAATATCCTCTTTCCCGGTTATTGATCTCCCATGGTTCATTGCGCAGTTGGGCAGCCGGAAAAGATACTGCATTTGACCTTCTAACGTTTCACTATTCACCATTTTCCTATCCCCAGAATGCAATGCGAAAACAGGGGTCTAAACCTCATTTGCATAGGACAGGAAGGCATCGGAATGATCCTGTTGACGTTAAACAGCTTGTTTTTCAGTGTGTTTTGAGGTGTTGAATTTGAAAACACATAGAGAATGAATTTTTTGAATAGGTGGTTTGTAATGTTATAGTGGTAACGCTATACTAATGCTGTATCGTTACAAACCACATGTTCCATGTTAAAAAGAACACAAAAACTTCTTTCCTAATTTGTTGTCAGATTCGGCCCATAGTAATTTAATTAATGTTGAGCATAAAATGCCCCAACACCTTAAAACACACTGAAAAACAAGCTGTTTAACGTCAAGAGGATCATTCCGATGCCTTCCTGTCCTATGCAAATGAGGTTTAGACCCGTTTTCGCATTGCATTCTGGGAATGGGAAACTGGTGAATTTGACCTTCTAGTGTTGCATTATAGTGCAAATTTTTTTTTGTTATTGACAGGATCATTCTGTAAATAGTGCAGAAGTTAAGTTTCTGTATCATCCTGCCAATAGTACAAACGTTTCTGTTATTGACAACTGATCTTTCACTGACTTATTGCTGTTTTTCATGACAAATAAAAGGCTTCTTTAGTATATTTCAAATGTAGGCATCTTTTTTTTCTGTATTCTTGTTTTTTTCTGCTCTCTCGCATTAGATAGTCATCCATAAAAAGTACTTGGTGTGGCCTAATCAGACTGGGACACTTTGGGAGCGTTTAGAGTAAAAACACCTAGAATTTGGGTGGCGTCGGGTGGCGTAGTGGTAAATCATTCGACTGTGAACCGGGAGACCCGGGTTCGATCCCGAGTCGTACCCGGGACATGTCTGGACATGCGCCCCGACATTGTGTCCTTGGGAAAGGCACTTTACACAACTTTCCTCACTCCACCCAGGTGTGAATGGGTACCTAACTTCGGTTGGGGAAAGCCGTATTGAGGTCACCTTGTGGCGCCGAATGGCATCTGCACAGGCCCTTGCTGCAGTTCCACAAAAATGTGGAACAAATACGTATCATGTGTATTATTATGGTATTTTTGTATTATTACCATTTGTATCATCTGATTGTAAACCCTGCATCAATTCGGCACTATAAGGCTGCGATTGCACGTGTAATGTTTGGCCAATAAACCAATAAACCAACTTGGACAGGAACAGAACAGGATCATCGCAACGCATGACTGTGTTTTATAGTCAAGTTATTGAAATAAATACATTGTGGAGAATACTAGGAAACTTTTCTTTCCATATACATGTACCATTGATGCATTGCTTGCTGCTGTCGCTCTGCAGCGAGCTGTTCATCTACCTAAAAGCGACGTCTATCGACAGAGCGTATAAGTGCAAGACTTTCAGTTCCATCTCCAACCATAACCACCGTTTGATTTGATTTGATTTAACCACCGTTCACATAATTATTTTGAACTACATTTTATTAAACACATCTGTTGTGCTAGCAAAAGGAGTGTATGTTATTGTAATGAAAAACGGTTACGTTTTACTTATTTGTGTAAATATCTAATACTAAACGTAAACAAAGGGAATAAAATCAACATTATGTATACATGACTGCGAAAACATTTGAAATACTGAAGTAAACCTTTTCGAACATCATTTCAGCAACAGACTCTGTTTGGTTGGTGTGGCAAGTTGCTAAAAATTCAATATCTACAAATTCAGGTTATATTATGTACCTGTCTTTTTTAAACATATTGTTTTTACTCAGTTTCGTCCTCTTCTGTTCCAAACACTAACCTGGCCAATGACATGATTTGTTGACGTCTGTCACCATGGTGACTGGTGTTGGGTTACATAATGTTGCAATTTCATGGTCTGCTCTACTCCTGTCACCATATACTCGTAGTACATGTATGTGAATATGTTTGAATAACAATTAACAGGGCAGACCATGTCCGAAGGTAAACATGATGCATTTGCTTTGCAAATGTTTCTTCTACTAGTTTCTGTTAAATCTTACCTTTGAAAAGAAGCTCAACAACGTAGCCGCATTCAACCGGTGCCTCTCCCTTGCTTAGTTTTTCTAGACCTTAAAGCATGTCGCGCTAAGTTAAAGATGATTTATTAAAAGGAGCCTCCGCCATGTACCGCCGGTGTACTGTAACGTCTCGCTACATTAGTCATTGATAAAAGGTGAAGAGGTTTAATTAACTGTAATCGAAAAATAATTGGGACTTAATTGAAATCCCCGTTAATAGGTTTTCTCTGATCGCTTGCGTGAAAAGTGGCACGCTCCATCATTCCTCCAAGCACGTCTGTGGGTAAGGTTTGTCTAGGTGTTGATGGGACTTAGGCCACAGCAAGTCATTTTCATGGATGACATCCTCTGCAGACTCCAAATCTAATGCGAGCGGGCCAAAAAAAGAAGGGCCGAAAAAACAAGGATCCTATATTTTATAAGATAAATATGGAGAGAGGAGACAAGACAAGGCTTGTTCATTTGTTGTGCAGTTAGGTCTTTTACTTTGATGCAGTGATGTATTTCGTGATTGTTTTACATGTGACATTCCCCAAAAATCAAAACCATTTATACAATGATTGAAAATCTTTATTTTTTTTGTGTTTTAGTGACAAATGGATGCTGTAATAGCAGTAAACTTGTTTTTTTGTCCCGCCTTGTTTTTTTTTCGCCCTATCGCATTAGATTTTCAGTCTGTGGATGATGTCATCCATAAAATTTACTTGCTGTGGACACGCGGAGATGGTCGGAGATTATTGCGTTCCGCCTGTACTGACAAAATAGAACCAGCGGGCGAGCTGCGGGGTACTGTACGGCGGCAGGTAGCTCGTTATCACCGGTTTGTGTCAACGTTTTGTCACGGTATTTTTTCGATAATTTGGGGTTGTTTACAAAACGATTAGGCCACACTGGTAACTACGGAGGATGGCACCCAGGCTGCCGAAGCTACATGGAACTCAAGAACTAAGTACAGTTCCAAGTCGCAAAAGGCCAGCATGTGCCGGCTTGTAAAAGTCGCCATGTGCTACCGCACATTCATAATACCAGCTTTGTATCCCTGTGGTTTTAGCAGCATTTGTTTTGAGCGGATTTTTTTTTATTTGCCCGCGCGCACTAGTTTAGGGGTCTTCAGAGGATGTCATCCATAAAATTAAGTCAATGTGGTCTTGCATGGGTAGGGAGGGGAGCCAAGGTGGCAGGTTTTAAGATCCCTTTGAAAAGGAAAAATTTGTATATGTTATTTATGTAAGAAATAGTATTACCATTACATCGAAGGAAAACAAACACTACCTGAATCTTTGTAGAATATATACATAAATAGTTGAATTTTTTGTATACCTGCGAGCTTATTAAAAATTAAAATAATGTCTATCATTTTGGGAGAAATTTGGCATTCTTTGTAAACTAGTTTTGTACAAGAAAGTGGAAAATGTGTCAGATGAAAGTTGAATCTTCATTTTGCTTCTCGTGAAGAAAATTACAGCGTCCAAATACAGCTCTATCAACGATTCAATATCGAACCATAACTGTTAGTCCGTAGTTTGAACCTACATGCACCCCATGGACCCGTTTGCATACTCCAAAACATTGTATGAGGCCATGTTGATTTGATTATATGGATGACATCCATGCGCGCATGAATTTTCGTCTGTTTCTCCAAATAAAAGTTTTCGACCATACTGTAAATCGTACAGCTGAGCGAATATATATCGTATGTTGCATAAAAAGTATTGGAAAACTATGTCATAGAATGCCGACATCAATTCAGGAAAAAAAGAAAATGAAAATGTGATGAAATCAAAATATTATTTTATCATATTACTATCATCCCCCATGCCATACTCTGTGTGTTTAGTCATTTGTTTAACCTTTATGACCACGTAGATTTCATACTGAAGGAAGGAACTTTTTTTTTGCACGCTCGCGTCAGTTTTGGGGTTCCCAGAGGATGTCATCCATATAATCAAATCAACATGGCCTAATGTACATAATGTACACGCACGAATCGTATACGACCCCCTGCTCCTCAGACGAAATAATGACACCAACACATGATGTACAAAATGACTAATAAACTGGTGGACGTACCAACCACTAAGTATCTGATACCATCCCAGAAAAGAACAAGATGCCTTCAAATATCAGAGTTATCATACTCTCCAAGCAGAGGTTTGGGTTTTGGGGGTATTTTTAGCGTGTTGGGTTTGGTGGGAAGAGAGAAATTCAGTGCAAAAAGAAACCCCGATAAAAAAGCCTAAAAACACGCTAAAAATACCTTCAAAACCAATAATTGAGGTGTTCAAAAACTCGCATTTCCCCAGAGCTATCGTAGACTGGAACTTCAAGCACAGTTGGGGCATCATCACTAGAAAGCTTTGAACAACTCCTGCAATCAAATGTGAAACGATTGAGTGTAACAAGTCGTTCGGTGTGATATGGCTAGCTGCTGCCGCGCCGCGTGCCTGCGAAGCTGGTGTGTTACGCCGAAGGGCGGTTATACCAGCTATATTGATGCAGATACAGAAGCTGGTGTGTTACGCCGAAGGGCGGTCATACCGGCTATATCGATACAGACACAGAAGCTGGTGTGTTACGCCGAAGGGCGATTATACCGGCTATACCGATACAGATACAGAACACCCCCACCCCCCGTACCAGAGGTGTTCAGGCCAGGTGTTTCCTGTATTGTCCTTCACACATTGACGCCCCAGACCGCATGCGACAGTCGAGTCATTAATTGGAAAGTTAAACACCTGCCATGGTCTGTAAATACGGGGCGCCGATACCCGTGACCAATCGTTCTGTACAACTGCGCTAATTAGAAGTAAACATAAGGCCACAGCAAGTAATTTTTATGGATGCCATCGACGCGAGCATTAATTTTTGGCTGATTTCAGAAAAAAAAAGAAATTTTGTTGCCTTATGACAGTGGTCACCATGCCGAAAATGGGCAAAGATGTCTGCTGCTATGCCGGAAGGTGGATGGCAGATAACTATGACGAGGGGAGACAAGACTCTGATTTAAGTTGTTTCTTATTTTGATGCAGTGATATGTGATGCTGGCTGGATATGTGATGTTCCCACTGAATAAAAACCATTTGTACAATAATTGAGTCAAAATTCTACAATGTAGGAACCTTGTTTTTTTTTGGCCCGCCTTGTATTTTTGTCGCCCGCTCGCATTAAATTTGGAGTCTGCGGGGGATGTCATCCATAACATTTACTTGCTGTGGCCTAAAGGAGAAGGAAGCTTTCCACCCATTTAGTGTCGAACTCAAGTGTTGGTGACATTCTAAAAGATTGGGAAAAGGTGGCCTCCTAGCTTCGTAGACTTGTGCGGCAGCGGCGTTACTTTTTGGGGTGGGGGTGGGGGGTTAGGGGCGTATACCCAGGGAGCCACCCTTCCCCCCAAAATAATATAGGCGAACCATAGGCGGAAGGTGTAGCCTGAAAATGTGAGAAAAATTCAGTCAGCGAAAAAAAATTATGCATATGATTTTAAAAAAAGGATACTGTAGCATCTATGTAAAGCTGCGGTCACGTTTCTAAAGCGGGGCCCGTCCGGGCTGTTTCGATTAACCAAAAATCAACAATTTATATTAAAAATAAACGTAAATAGTTCCCATTATTAATTTTTTCAACTTCCTTTGGTGCTCTGTAGTATTTTATATCACAATTTTCGTCCTACAAGACTGCCCGGTCGGGCCCCGGTTTGGAAATGTGACCTCAGCATAACATAAATACATTTCTTTGTCTATCACTATGCTTTGACAAGTGTCGGGAAAGATTTGCACAACTTTTCTGCGTTGGTTTTGGAACGTTTAATGTCCCTATATGCTATAAAATATACCCTGTTCTAGTAACTACATATCACAATGCTCAGACAGCAAAATTTGCTATATATACATAGTACATCAAACATCAAGTCATGAGTGTGAATACGATTCGCACCCGTATAATACAATGACACATGATATCTGCTATCTGAAAGTTTTTAGAGTTAGACATTTACAACAAGTTTTAGCTGGCGTGATATTGTCCTTGTTAACGATCACGATAATTGACAATAGCGTTATTCCTCTTCCAATATGGTGTTTGCCTGAATGTCAGACCCTGAAGTACGTCGAGGAAGGTTAGCCATCCAGGCAATAAGATACGTCAAAAGCAGTTACTCAAGCAACTGGACATGATTTTGGAAACGGTCAGACGTTTCAGGTAGCATCCACTACCTTACTACCTTTCGTCAGTGTCGCTGTGAAGCCAGTATCACTGACGAAAGCAAGTGGACACTACCTGAAACGTCTGGCCGTTTCTAAAAATCATACAACTTGCTTGAGTAACTATTTTCATGCCCGTGGCCAGGATTTTGAATGGGGGGGGGTTCGCTTCTCAGTGCGTGAGGGACCAGCGAGCGCCGAGGGCGCGAGGTTCCTAGGGGGTCCGGGAGTATACTCCCCCGGAAAATTTACAAAAATGAACCTTGTGAAATGGCATTTCCTGCGTTTTTGAGAGGATTTCAAAGAAAAAAATTCAGAGATAACTTTTTATTCAATGACAAAGTAGGCAGTTTTTATACAATTCCAGCCCCGCTGGTGATACGAATCAGTCCATCTAAAGAAAAATCTGGGACCTTTAGATAAAAAGTGGACCAAAAAGTGGACCTTTGAGCCTTGTGTGTGTGTGTGGGGGGGGATCGGAACCCCCCTGGCTACGGACATGGTTTTTGGCTTGTCTGGTGTTTCTACTCAAGTGCGACCCATGAATAGCGTCGACAGGTACACGGGCTATTAATGGAAAAGGTAAACACATCAATGTCCTCCGGTTACAGCGATCATGTAATAGTTACAGCTACTGAACCGAGCGTACAACGGCTTTCTCTGTGACCACCTCACTAGTACAACAACAGAAGGTGATCAAATACCTCACGCGTAGAGACTGGAGACGGGAAACCTGTCTGCATGTAACATTTGAACAAGTGACAGTGATTTAACCTCCTTCGCATACTTGTAGGTAGGCGGCGGTATAATTTTTTGGCGGGGAGCGACGCGAGTTATGCCGCGGAGGGACGGTTTTGCCGCCGAGGGAGTTTGCCGGGGAGAGACGGTTTCGTCACCTAACAATTGTAATTAGATACGCCAAAAGCAACTGAATATGATTTTGGAAACGGCCAGACGTTTCAAGAAATGACCACCACAAGGAAGGATTGGCCCCACAAGTCTGCAAAGGAGGCTAATGATGAGGTCACATTTCAAAACCGGGGCCCGGCCGGGCTGTTTCGAATAACAAAAAATCAAGAATTTATATCAATAATATACGCAAATAGTTCCCATTATCATATTGACCTGTGTGGCAAAAATGTGTAATAAAGGTCGTCATTCATTATCAATTTCTTAAAACTTTTTTGTGCTCTGATGTCTTTTATATTATACTTTTCGTTCCCGGCCGGGCCCCGGTTTGGAAATGTGACCTCAGCATAACAGCGACCACATATAAAGGCTCTTTTCTTTGTGTACAAACAAGAAAATACATTACCATCACCGATAAGCTGCTTTTCTCGGACATCCAAGACGAGATTCTCACTATAAAAACTCCATTCTCACAATGGCTTTACTTTCCGACCCTGACTATGATTTTGCAACACAATGAAAACTTAAAGGCTAGAATCGTCTCCGTGTTCTATTCGAATTCGTATCTAGAACCCACGTTCTATTTTTTACTAGAACCCTTGTTCTATTCGTCTCTAGAACCCGTGTTCTATTCGTCTCTAGAACCAGTGTTCTATTTGTCCCTAGAACCCGTGTTCTATTTGTTCTAGAACCCGTGTTCTATTCGTCTCTAGAATCCGTGTTCTATTCGTGTCTAGAATCCGTGTTCTATTCGAATTCGCCTCTAGAACCCGTGTTCTATTGGTCTCTAGAACCCGTGTTCTATTCGAATTCGTCTCTTGAACCCGTGTTCTAGAGCTAGCAACTGTACTCTTCTCGTCTGTAGAACCCGTGTTCTATTCGTCTCTAGAACCCGTGTTCTAGAGCTAGCAACTGTACTCTTCTCGTCTGTAGAACCCGTGTTCTATTCGTCTCTAGAACCCGTGTTCTAGAGCTAGAACCTGTATTCTTCTCGTCTGTTCTGTGTTCTAGTCGTCTCTCTCCCCGGCGGCGTACACGGGTGACACCCCGGCCATCTTCAGGCTCTCCATGTGCTCCTTCGCCTTCAGCCTCAGCGTCGCGATGGAGGAGGACCTCCGCTCCTCCAGTGACGTCTGCCGCCCGCTTCCTCCGTCGCTCCCGGTGAGACACATGGGCGGGCTGCGGACGATGGGCGGGAGGACGGGCGGGAGGACGGTGATGAAGGGGGCGGACACGGCACGCCGGGGGCAGGCGTTGTCCGTACTGACGACCGAGGTGGGGATGCTGGTGGTGCTGAGCTGGATCGGGCTGGCGCCGTTGTCCCGCAGCTTGCTTCTCTCCTGCTCCTTAGCGCGCTCCTGTTTCCTCCACTTGGCGCGCCGGTTCTGGAACCAAACCTGGGAGAAACATCGTGGACGTCGATTATGCTGAGGTCACATTTTCAAACCGGGGCCCGGTCGGACAGTCTTATGGACCGCCCGGCTGGGCCCCGGTAAGTATGATATAAAAGACAACAAAGCCAAAAAAAATATAAAAAAATAATATCGGGAACTATTTGCGTATATTATTGATATAAATTCTTGATTCCCGGTTTAGAAATGCGACGTACCATAATGTAATGGGTATATTCATCCAGTGATTAACAGTATTCAACATCATGACTAACAGTAGATGAACAATAGTATACAGTACTGTTTCAATGCAAAGACTTTTAGTATTTAGTGCTAGAGTGTAGCATTTCGTAAGGATCTCGCGGGCACACACACACGTACGTAGCCTGTGTATACACAAGCTCTCGGCTGGAGGTTAATGACCCCACGCCAGGAGCGCGATTTAGTCAGGCTAACACACACGAATTTCGTCCTTATTACATAGGATTTTCAAGTACAGATCGCATTAAAACACTAATTTGTTACGTACACTCCTCGTAACATGGTTTAACTCACTTTAAAACATTTAGAAAAGCATTACACAATTAAATCTGTACATTGTATGTAATTAACAAGTGCGTGTAGCTAAGTGCTAATGGTATAACTGATAAATTGTCTTGTCGTAGAGACGAAATGCACAATGAAGGAAAGAATTACTAAGTCTCTTAGTCCGGGTTTTAGGCCATACCGACTTCATTTTATGGATGACATCCGCGAGTGCATTGATTTTCGCCTGTTCTAAAAAAAAAAAAAAGATCACGTCCTCTGAGCATCTGGCCTGGGTAGTCCATGGTGGTTAGCGACAATACGGAGCCGGTGGTAACTCTGGGGGACGGCACCCAGGCTGCCGAAGCTTCACGACTCAAGATCTCAGTAAATCCCGCAAAAAGCCAGCATGTGCCGGCTTGCCGTATACGTCGCTATGTATCTACGCAAATTCACAATATCAGCTTTGTATTCCTGTGGTTAAATAGCGTTTTTTTTTAATTTTTGGCCGGAAATTTTTGTTCGCCCGCGCGCACTAGTTTGGGGGTCTCCATAGGATGTCATCCGTAGAATTAAGGCGGTGTGGCCTAGGTTTTAGGTACAGTGATTATGCCAGAGTTTCCGAGTGTGCGTCCCGTGACACCCGGCCTACAAGAACATTTAGAAGTATATATACCTCACCTGTACCCGTGACTCCATGAGGTCCAGTCTAAGAGCCAGCGCCTCTCTCATGAAGATGTCCGGGTAGTGGGTCGTTTCGAATGCTCGCTCCAGGGCCTCCAGCTGCCAGCTCGTGAAGTTGGTGCGCACGCGCATGCGCCGGGGTTTTCGCCGCGGCGGCACAGCTGACGTAGGGTAGATCTGCGCAGGCGCAGTGTTGACAACATCTGGAACAAAAATTTTAACTAAGTACAGAAAGATTTTTTTATCAAACTTCATTATCATTCACAGTACAACAGTAAAAAAAACCCATAGTAGATACATAATGATACATAAGAAACAAAATATTGATTTTTATACTTGCAATTGTTCGTCGTGTTCTATTTCAAAACGTTTGTTTAGTCTGTTTTTAAAAAGTGTAAAGTTGAGATTTTTGATGAAATATATGTATATCCAGTATTTAGCAACAAGAATACTAAATGAAAGTGTACTAACATAGTGTGGATTTTCAACTATACCGTATACAATCATGTTTTCGTCTAGAAAGTATAGAAAGATTGACCAACTTACGAACACTGTAAACCTCGTCATAAGAATGACTCTATCTATATTGTAGCTTACATTTAGAACCTTTGCTACCTACAAATGTATTCATTGTCATTGTATACTAGTATATTTATGATATTTGAGAAACCTAATGTTTTGAACGTTGCGACGTCGTGATTTCATAAACATTTGCATATTCTATGTTCACGCAATCTGACATACCCCGTGGCCTAACATTGTGCTGTTTTTACTTGTACTTGTGAATAAATCATTGATTTATTGATTAATTGATTGATTCAACCAATAATTGCATCCGTCAAATCTAATCATGCAACCTAAATCATACTCGATATTTAATACCAGGCCTCGTACATAAAAAAAAGAGAATAAAACAAATCAAACGCTTGAACAAATAAATGCTGTTCATTTCGCCGTCCGAGTGCCCTTATATTTTGGGGTAACCAAATAGCTGAATAGCTGACACTCTAACTCCTGTAATATTGTGCCCATTTTTAATGTCTTTCGTTAGCGAATCTAAGTCGCTTTTCAACCAGACAAAATATAAGTACCATAGTTTCCCTCGATGGAAAATCCAAGCACATTAAATAAAACAAGAGTTTCCAGGAATTCAGATTTACCGACCTGTTTCGTACGGTACGTGCCAGACGCATTTGTCTGAAATTGCTCATATGTATAAAACACACGAGCCTTTGTTCTTGAATACAAGCGAATTTGCTGCACAAAAAAACGACATTCATTATATTTTTATCACATGTTTCACAGATTAGTCTACGACGTACATGCATTGTGCTGGTTCGTAAACATAGAGAAAAAAGATACACTTTCTAGAGGTAACTATACAAATATTCCAACATATTTCAAAGGACGTACAATTCAATAGTTTGGTATGTCCTGATTTTCAATGAACCTCAACTAAAGCGCAGTTTTCCCCTAACATCCATTTTTAAAACGAAAAATCTACGTCGTATGTATCGCTTTTGACTTTCAGTTGTTTTTTCTATGTCCGTGTCACTAAAATGCAGGTATCTTCGTGTTTATCTATTGATATGTGCCTAATGATCCAGAAAACCGCAAATAACGAATAGAAAATTTATGTCTACATATTTTACAGTAACTCTAGCGTTTCTGATGATTTTTGTGGTCATTAAATAGACCTTCTGATATACATTATTAGTCCACAATCTTGTACTATGTTTGGAAAATAACACATGATAAAACACGTAACACATAGGCAATTGTCTGTTCGTGTTCATTTATTGTGATATGCCTGATGATCGGGAAAAAGGCAACTAACACATAGAAAATTTATGTCTACATATTTTATACAGTAACTCCAGCGTTTCTGACGGTTTTTGTGGTCATTAAATAGACCTTCTGATATACATATTAGTCGACAATCTTGTACTATGTTCGGAAAATAACACATGATAAAAAACATAGGAAAATGTCTGTTCGTGTTCATTTATTGTAATATGCCTGATGTTTGGAAAACCGCAACTAACACATAGAAAATTTAAGTTCACATATTTTTACAGTAACTCTAACGTTTCTGATAATGTTTTGGTCAATAACTAGACCTTTTGATATGAATTATTAGACGACAAGCTTGTACCATGTTTGGAAAATAGCACATAGCATAATAACACAAAAACAGTATGGCGGCTGCTCTCTCTATCTCTCTATATATCTACAGCAGACAAAGAGAGTCACGAAGCCTAGGAGATACATGTAAGACTGCTATGTGAAATATTCCCACAGAACTAGGGCACTGTTGGGCATTATATCTCCCGATTATTTGTTCATTTTGTCGTAGATCGTAGTTTATATAGTAATGATAGAAATGATCTTTTTAGACATATTACAAGTACGTTTCCATATATCCTTCCAATACTTGACTGATAATGAAAAATACATCTTTCTTATGCGCTTTGATCATACTGTATTAAACAAACCCTTTTCAAATTATATTTTTAACATCACAAAGAAACGAGAAGAAGTCGAACCTCTGTATTTGAGTAGTTTTAGAGCTGTTATTATTAGGTTATTATTATTATTATTATTATTTTCTATCAGTCGTTCATACAACATGTACGCAAATATAGTTACTGGTCTTCGTTTCTCTTGGCAACATTTTTGCTAAATTATTTTGAAAAACAGCCCTTTCTACTAAACTGTTATTTAAAGATACAGCATTGTCAAGGAACCTAGATTCCTCGATCAAGTGAGCCAGTTAAGCTATTGTAAAAACGAATGCCGCATAGAATCGTTCTATTGTCACTGATTTAGCGTTTGTGATAAAAATATAGGACAGAGCCTCATATAGACCTTTTTTATGCATTGTCAGAAAAGGGTATTTTTATATACGTTGCTAGAAGGAAGATAAATTTAGCAGAAGACTCTACATATGTTGGAATGGCATACCTGTAACAAGCTTCCATAATTCATGACAATATCGGATATAAATCTACTTCTTTTCATGAAAAAAAAAAACAAGGTGTCTTTTAGACATCTCTAAATTGCTTGTCATATGGATCTTTTTATGCATTGTCAGAAACGGGTATTTTTTTATACGTTGCTAGAAGGAAGATAAATTTAGCAGAAGACCCTATAGTAAAATGACATAACTGTTACAAGCTTCCACAATTCATGACAATGTCAGTCATAAATCTACTTCTCTTCATAAAAAACAAGGTGTCTTTGAGACATCTCTAAATTGTCTGTCATATGGACCTTTTCATGCATTGTCAGAAACAGGTATTTTTATATACGTTGCTAGAAGGAAGATAAATTCAGCAGAAGACCCTATAGTAAAATGACATTACTGTTACAAGCTTCCACAATCCTGACAATATCAGACATAAATCCACTTTTCTTCATGAAAAAAAACAAGGTGTCTTTTAGACATCTCTAAATTGTCTGTCATATGGATCTTTTCATGCATTGTCAGAAACGGGTATTTTCATACGTTGCTAGAAGGAAGATAAATTTAGCAGAAGACCCTATAGTAAAATGACATAACTGTTACAAGCTTTCACAATTCATGACAATATCAGACATAAATCTACTTCTTTTTATGAAAAACCAAGGTGTCTTTGAATCATCTCTAAATTATTTGTCATGTAACGAAGAAGATTACCTAGATGTAGTGGAAGGAAAACTATGAAATGATCATGTGAATTATGAGATTGAAAACGAGAGTCATTTTATTGTGGACTGTACTCTATATAATAATGAAAGATTCTCTTCAATTATATAAAAGATTATTTCCCTAGTTTTAGAATACAAGATACGAAAGACAAATTCACATTTCTCATGAAACTCGATAATCCTCGTACTATAAGCTCCATATGTTCATACATGTACAACTGTCTTAAGAAGTGAGAAGGAGCAGAACCTGTATATATGTAGTTTTACTATAGATATATCTACCATCGCTACTTGCCGTGACCTGTACTTAGTTCGCAATGAGCAAAAATGTACAATAAAGGTCTTTCATTCTCCCAATTTAAGTATTTGAATAGTATACAGAAATTTATATTCCTTGTAGTCTTTAACAAACCTGCTCTAACTACTCATACTGCCAACTACATTTATAAGATTACCAGAAAGCGAGAGGAAGTTGAAAGTACTTGTGTACTATGGCATTTTTATTATCAACATTGATGTACTTTGTCAATATGTGAACTGTCTTTAGCCCAGTGGGGCAAATTGTACAATAAAGGTCTTCATTCATTCATTCATTATGTTCAATACTGGTAATTGAGCATAGGAAGAAAAGCCGCCAACCTTTTTGTTCGTTGGGAGACATGGTCTGCCGATCCGAGTCACTCCCGGCCTCGGCGTCCCCTGCCTTCTCCTCCGAGGACGACTCTTGCTTCTTCTCGGTCTTCAGGCCCAGGATTCCCTCGATGGTGTACGACATGCCGTTTTGTTTTTCTCTCTCAGCTTCTCAGTCACGGAAAAAAATATTCTCAGGTTCCCGAGTAGAAGAAAATGATGTTGCCACACAGTTTGTCTTTGTATGAACGTGTCGTCGATTCGACTATCGTTTTGCTTTCAACTTTTACTGCATAAAAAAAAATCCGCACACGACTGAGGAACGATACAAAAATCAGAGCTCTAGAGGAATAGAATCGATATAGATTGACAAAACTTCGAGCACGGAGTTTGGTCAGAGAGGATTGGAAAACCACGAATCGGACGATTTTAACGTCGATTGTAGCTAAGTCGGTACGGCCACCATACACACGACTTCCCTCCAAAGTCCTCACTAGTGGAGAGCCTGCGGAAGCTATTTATATGATAGGCCGCCGCGGCGGGGACTTGTTAATTTGTATGATGCTATTAACGGCAAATCGCGGGGCGGGAATATACATTACCTGAACAAGCGGCATAATGGGTTTTCTGCGGGGCTGAGTACCCTAAATGATCGTCGTTTCCCACCTCATTGATTCCAGCAAGAAAGGGCTCCCTACAAAGCAGAGGGTCTGTGTGGGGGTTATCGACATGCCTCTGGTCGTAAATGAGCGATAGCTAAACCCCTCGGCGTTTAGAACGCAATGAGAATACCCTGAAACAAGTAGAACGGTAGAGGGATCGTGTGGCGTAGCGGAGAGTGCTTGACTCAGAACCAAGAGGTCCAGGGTTCGAGTCCTGACATGCCCTTGGGTAAGGCACTTTACACGACTTTCCTCACTTCACTCAGGTGGAAATGAGTATTGTCATGTCCTGTATTTGTACTCTGTGTTGGTGGCGGCATAAGTTGATATAACTTGAGTGTGCCGTGGCCATGTTTGGTAATGAAACGTTGAAATATATTTAAAAAAAACGCACATTATGTATAATCTCCAAGCAGATGTTAAGACATTATCAAATTGGCCAGACAGTATCCTTTCGGTGGCAAATAGGAATACTACCTGGCCAATTTGATACCGTCTTTTGCCACCACCGAAACATCTGCTTGGAGATTATACAAAAGTAATCACAATGTACAGTACAGTGTCAGAATTTTGTGAATTTGCGGCGTTTAGAAGAACTAAACGTAGTACTAAACTAAATATATCCTCACGCGTCACTCCCACGCACCAGCCCACGACCGGTTTCCACGCCGCCCCCATGCAGACCCTCGCGTCGACGCTGGAAGGAAATTGCTTAATGCTATTTGTGTGATTGTGGTAATTGAGCGTGGTAAGCGCCATTTAATTACGCCAAGATTGGAACGGGGCACGCTTACACGTTGCGGGGCCGTTCGGTGTCAAGTTGGGGGTTGTGGCCCTTGTGCAGGTGAAGGAGTATATGCACAATTAACTATCAGATGGTAGCCTCCGTAGCAGGCTTATAGAACTGGGGTTTGGTGGTGTTTTCTGATTAGCCCAGTTCTAAAAACGGGGGTAATTCAACCAGGCCGGCTATGTTGTCTATATGCGATCAGAAAATAGCACATAAAAGCTCCCAAATACCATGAAGTTCCCCCCAAACCCCCAGTTTTTGGCATGCTATGGAGGCTAGGTGAAGTGTACGAAGGAGAATATGCACAATTCAGATGGAGCAGTTGCATTTCGGACAACGTACATGCAGAAAAAAATCATTTTCACAGTTTTGTAGAAAGACAGGACTAAAGATATGAACTATTATTACTTCAATTTTCACCTGAATACAAGGCTCATACCAGCCACTCGCATGTTTTGCATGGGTAACAATAACGTACTGTGAATACCTTAGACTTGAAAGGTTTAAGATTTGCATTTGGGAAGCAAATATGGAAGGATTAATATTAATATTTTACGATGAACAATTGTCACTGGGCTGCATTCATGTAAGGTAAAGCATGGGGATAGCCTCACATATGATAACCCTGGCTAAACTATGCCATACATACATCTATGTACGTAATTGCAATGAAGACAAATTTAGTATATATTTATGTTGCATTACTGTCTAGCTAGAACGAAATGACATTGCTTTTTTCACGATAGTTCAACTTCGATAGTTCTGTAGAATGAAATGAAATATGACACAATTTTTAGACCATGGTAAACCATGTTTCACATATTATATCATAACCTATGAACAAAACAACAAAAAAAAAAACATTTCAACAGAATAATACCCCAATCAAAGTTAGGAAGATATGTGAAACCAGTTGTTTTTTTTTAATTTATTTGTTAGTAAGTTTTTTTTGATAGATGGAAAACTATTTCTTAAGGTGGTGATAAAAAAATGTTGGCGTTATATAAGAGCACGTAAAAGACAATGCGAGACTACGATGGCGACGCACTGAAGTTAATGACATTTATATAAGTGTCGCCATCGAACAGAAAATAATTAACAAAGATATGATACTACATAAATATAACACAGAAATGAACACACACACACAAACAATGAAAAGCAGAAAACGTTGGGGACAAAATTTGATATAACTAAAAGCTGAATTTCAATTTGTTATGACTTGTCCCACCTATAGAAAAGAAAGAGATACATTGTTTCAGACTATTACTACTAAGACAAAATTCACCCAATCTGGTACACAGTACGATACATTCCGTGAATTATTGTCATGTCCTACTACCATATCTGGTTACGTAGGCCAATTTTTGTACACCTTATTCCATAAGCGAGAACATATCATCAATACATGACCATATGGTAACTCAAATACTGTTTAGATAGTAGTTTGTAGTAGGTAAAGTTTGTAGTTATTGTTGTATTACTGCCATACATTGTACATTGTTGAGCAATAAAGTTCATTCATATATAAACTAAAGGTTATATAAGTTCTCTCGAAGGATGAGAAACAACAAATTGTATTGGTTCTGCCCACTCCGAATGGAAATTGTCACCTTTCTGCGGTGCCCGACTGGTGGTCTCACTCCTACCGTACCTGCCCGGCGCACACGCCGCTTTTATCCGCGCACAATCACTGTTTTTCCCCGCGGAACAAAGGCCGCTCCGCCCGCCTAACGAGCGGAGACACCCGCCGTGTTGATTCAAGCGGTACTCCTGGGCAAGAGGCGTGAAGTGTGTATTCACACGCACCTGATCTTTTACCCAGGGTGTGCTTCGGGGTTGCCTGGAAACTCCATAGTATACTAGAAACTGGGGGTTTTGGGGGTCTTCGGGGTCTTTGGGAGCTTGTATGTGCTATTTTCTGATAGAAATATATAGATGCATATAGACAACATAGTCGGCCTGATTGAATTATCCCCGTTTTTTTTAAATCAGAAAACAGCCGAAAAGAACACCAAACCCCCAGTTCTATAAGCCTGCTACCTGGAAACTAGGAGTGGGGAAACTAGGGCCCTTTCTCACTAGGATAGAGTTGTCCGGATCGAAGCCGGATCAAAGCGAATCAATCCGGTTTTATCCGGACAATTTTATCCTAGTGGAAGTGGGGCATAAGTGTGTTGTATTATCCAAGCGTAGGTTTGTACTTTTGGCGTATTTTTGGCGTGTTTTAAGGCTTTTTTATCTGGCGTTCTTTTAAATTTTAGAACCGGTATCTTTTTTGTGCCAGCCCCCCTAAAGATCAAGACTGCCTGATAAAAAAGCCTAAATACACGCCAAAATCAAGAGAAAACCGGGCGTTCCTTTTCAAACAGGTATCTTTTTTTGTGCCAGCCCCCCAAAAGATCAAGAACGCCTGAGAAAAAAAAGCCTAAAATCACGCCAAATATAATAGAAAGTAGAAAGCCTAAAACCTCTGATTGGAGAGTAGGAAAAACTACATGTATAGGAGTGATGTACTCTCCAAGCAGAGGTTTGGGCTTTTTCTTATTTTTGGCGTATTTTGAGTCTTTTTATCGGGCTTTCTTCTTTGCACTAATATTTTTGTGCCACCCCAGTGCAAAAAAGAAAACCCTTAAAGCCTGAAAAACACGCCAAAAATACACAAAGCCAAAGTCCAAACCTCTGCTTGGAGAGTAGGAGTGATGTGCTCCTTCCTACCAATACATTAGTTTTTTTTTTTCATACTGCGAAAACTGGTTAAAATAGTGAAAATACAAAAGAAAAGCAAAACCAAGTTTTTCAGATTGCAGATTTCTTTCGTAGAGTTCTTGCAACGCGAAATGTAAACCTTTTTGTTCTCATTGTTGTCTTTATCGTTATGCTTTAGAGAGAATAAAAGAGAGAAAACATAAAATCTTTCATATGATCTGTATGTATTTCCTACCTGAAAAATAGATCGTGTGTGTTCTTTTTTTTTTATTCCAACATGTAATCACAAGACGTGGTGACGGCACACTCACGTTTTTTCAACTCATTTTAATGCCGCCACCAACACAGGGGACAAATACATGACAGGACAATACTCATTTACACCTGAGCTAAAAATATATATTATAAGTGAGGAAAGTCGTGTAAAGTGCCTTTCCCAAGGGCACAAGATCGGTGGCATGTCAGGAATCGAACCCGGGACTCTTAGTTCCGAGTCGCGCACTCTGCCGCCACGCCACACGGCCCCAGACTGTGTGTGTTCCGTTTGGTCTCTGACGTATTGACGCACCCGCATGGGAACACGACCTTCTGATACCGGGGTTTTCCTCCGCCGAGTGTTAAATAATGAAGCTAAGTAGATCACCGGCAGTTGATTCGATTGTGTTCAGTACCTATCTGCACTCCGTATCTCAGCAAAACACAGTCAAAACACGCCACGCATAATGGCGGCATCGACAGATGTGTTTACACGAGTTCCTGTGTTGGTGGGAATTAGCAGCACTGGACGTTATTTCATAACGTGGGCTGGATTGAGTATTGGCGTTAGCTATAATAGTAGGCTTTGTAAGTCTCTCCCCCTCTCTCTCTTTCTTTCTTTCTTTCTCTCTCTCTCTCTCTTTCTCTCTTTCTTTCTTTCTCTCTCTCTTACCTTCTCTCTCTCTTTCTTTCTTTCCCTCCCTCTTTCTTTCTATTTATTTTCTTTTT